AACTGGATCTACCAACCTCTAAGCTTCCTGCTTCCTGTAAGCTACCAAATGATTTTAACTTTTCTTGAGGTTTCACGGATGCCGACTATCAAATCCATCCAAGAAAACTCTTTTATGATTTGATTATCTTATTCAGAGCTTGGAGAACTTGCGGAGACTAGATTTGACTGGCTCTACGAATCAGCAAGAGCTTTCAGGTCTTTCAACTGCTCAGAAACTGGAGGAGCTGATAATCAGCGGCTGCGAATTGCTGACTAAAATTCCAGAGTCCACTTGTCGCTTACCTTGTCTGAGGAAACTCAATGTGGGATACCTCAGTGGCATTACAATGATCACTGACCTTCAAGAAAGCAGCCTAAGCCGTTGCTGTCAAATTAGATTGACGCTGAATTATTCTACAGATCTCGCCATTGAGGGTGACATAGGTATTGATTTGTCGGGTCTCAATGGAAATGCGGATGGCCTCTCTTTTAGTTCCAGCCGACAGATCCATGATCCAACGAAAACAGCAACGCCTCAAGTGATATCAGAGGTTCATGGTTTTAAATCACTCAACATAAAGCGATCTTATTATATGGTGGATGGTGATTCTTTTGGATGCCATAGCTTTTCAAAATTTCTCGGTTTGACAGAGTTGAGCTTGATCAACTTGAACGTCAAGGAAATCCCCAACGACATTGGCGACTTGCAATCTCTAGAGAAACTGGACCTCAGTGGAAATAATTTCGTGTTGTTACCAACAGTCATGAGACAACAAGCCAAGTTGAAATATTTGAGCCTTTGTAACTGCCGCGAACTTGCCACGGCTTGCTCAGGTGGAAAGACTCGCACTTTCGGACTGTGTGAACCTCCGTTCATTGCTGGAAGAACTTCCCGGTGTAGAGAAAGATTCAAGAAGCTACCACTTGCTTGAGCTCTGCCTTGACAAGTGCAAGAATGTTGTTGAGTCATTGTCCAATGAGCTTAGTCATTTTACGAGTCTGACATATTTAGACCTCAGCAGCCATGATTTGGAGACATTGCCATCAACTATCAAAGATCTTTCCTCACTGGTATCTCTCTGCCTCAATAATTGCGAGAAACTCATATCCATAGAAAAGCTTCCCCTGAGCCTCAAGTATCTCTACGCACATGGCTGTTATTCCCTAGCAAATGTATCCCTTTCTTCAGACCATTCCATAAAACACCTCGATTTCAGCCGTTGCTTCAGCTTGAAACAAATTGAGGAACTAATGACTATATTTCTAAACGACGACCAACAACACAGAGAAGCGGTAAGTTTCTGCTCTCCTCTCCTCTCGATCATTCTGATTCACAATCTCATGATTTAGCATCCTCTTTTGTGTGTAGGAGTCACCGAGATTCGCTTGCTTACCGGCATCCAGAGAATCCACTTATTTCCCCATGGTTATGGGACTCAATGTGTGGCTCGGGGTTGCTTCCAGGATTCGTCTGCAATTCTCATCCATTTCTTACACTTGGTACTGGGAACAGTACGGCAAATTTTACATCACTCTCAGACCAGATTACAATAATCTGGTGGAAATGATTGGAGAAGATGATAATTATCAACTGATCTTCATCAACATTCCGAGTAGCGTAAACAACGAAGCCGCCGTGAATTTGCGATTGGAAGCCCGTCTAGATTTTCCAGAAGAGTTGAAAGTTCAGGCCGAAAATAATATCATCGGGAGGTCGCTTTATCCGATCGCAGTAGTACTGATCATCACAATCCTCCATCTTCTTCTCCACCGGAGGAAATGAGATTTGCTTTACCGGAGGAAAGGGTTTAGAAAAGAATCGATAAGGCAAATTAAGTGTTTAGTATTTTGGAAAGTGAGCAATAAGAAAACGAA